GTTTGAAAGTATATTTGTTGTAATAAGAAAAACTGAAAGTACAATGCTATAAAAAAAATTAAGAAAGTAGATTGCTATTTTGTGCATTTTGCCCTTATTTATTATTATAATACGTATTGATAAATTATAATTATTGTTATTAAAAATTTAATTATAAATAATATATGTTATTTTAATATGGGATTCACATATTTGATTTTTTTTTTTTTTGATGTTTTTTAAGCATCTAGATCTCGTCCATTTCTTCTTTGTACATTTTCATCCTAAACAAGCCTTACACCATACTCTCAAAATAACGGGGCTTAGAGAACGAAAAACATCTCGGAAGCCTATTACACTTTGAATAAAACAACCATATTAGATGTCGATGGATCCTTGTGTCATCAACGATAAATTCATCATTATTCATTCATCATGTACCTATGTCTCGTTTGCTTACTTTCACCTTTAGGTGTCGTTTGGTTTGCGGAATTTGATGGAATTGAAATGACAAATTCTTTTGATCAAATTCCAATTCTTTTGTTTGGTTCATTTCTTGAAATAGATGGAATCCTTCAAATTTTATTAAATTCCACAAATTAATGAATTCATAATTCCTTGTTATAATGGAACGAATTGAGTTTCATCACCACCCACCACGACCATGCTACTATTGTTCGTCATACCCCACCACACTACTACTGTCGTCGCCACCCACCCATCCTACCCCAACAGTAACCACAATGCCACTATTGTTGTCATCACAATCACCCACCCCCTAGTCACTCACTGCACATCCTTACTACGATCATACTAATACCGTTACTGTCACGCCCCTAACCTAACCTCTACCACCACACCAAGTATTGTCGCCGTTACAACTGCCACTCACCCCCACCCCACGCATGATAGGTGGATACATGATAAGCACAAATATATACATTTTTACGTCAAAATTACCTTGAGATTAATGTCATTTAGATGTTTAAAATATCTATTTTTATTTAAGTTGATATTTAATCCTATGAGACTATTTCAATTGGGAAAAAAAGAAGAATTAATTATTTGTTTTTGGTTCTTTGCAGTCCTGCACTTGCTGTCTCCAAACAGCCCAAAACAGTCCCCAAAAACAGCCCATAACAGGCCCAAAAACAACCCAAAAATAGCCCAAACAGCAGCCCAAGGCTGCTGCCCAAATCAGAAGTCGTGGGCTGCTGCCCAAATCAGAAGTCGAGAGAGAGATCGTGCAGTGAGAGAAGTCGGGAGAGAGAGAGACGTCAGCAGCAGCAGTAGCAACGTGGGCATCAAGATGGAATCGAGATTAAAGGGGGCTGTAATCGGAGGGAAATCGAGAAGGAAATCGAAAGGGGCTGTTATCGAGAGAGGCAGCAGAATCAAGAGAGAAGGGGGCTGTCATCGAGCAGCCGAGAAGGAAATCGAAAGGGGCTGTCATCGAGAGAGGCAGCAGAATCAAGAGAGAAGGGGGATGTCATCGAGCAGCCGAGAAGGAGAAGAAGAAGCTGTCGAGGACAGCAGGTTATCCAGGCGAGGGAGGCAGCAGACGGGAGGAAGAAACCGAGTGACAGCAAGGGGCTGTCAATTGGAAACAGCAGCAAGCAGTCGGAATCGAGAAGGAGACGCACGGGGGCTGTTCGATTGAAGCAGAAAAGAGAAATCGAGAGTGACAGCACCTGTGGATTGGGAGGAGAAACAAGATCAATTTCCAGATTTTAAGAGTGTTTTCTAGACGATTTCTAAAGGTTATTGTCAATTTCTCCATTTCAATCAACAGGTTAGTTTACATCGGTCTTGAAGAATGTGTAGTTAATTTCTTTAATTTCTAGCAATTGGGTAGCTAATTGAGTATGATTGGGAATGTGTTGAGACTGGATTTGGTTCATGATTAGTGGATTTCATTTATGCAATCCTTGTGTTTTTCTTGTTTTCTCCTTTTTCAAGTTTGATTATGTAAGTTGGATCCCTTGCTTAGTCTAATTTGGATTTGAATTGCTAGGGTGATTTATGAATCCGTAATTGTTTGTAAATCTCTCTCGGTAGCAAACGATACACGGTTGGCAAGTGTGTTAATTGTATGTATTGTAGGATGGCATAACCCAACTCACATAAATGGCGTCCGTTTATTGGTTGGTTTCRGTATTTGTATGAACTTAATGCAATTGACAATTGAATTCCAAGTCCGTGACTGGATTAAATTAGTTGATTAGAGGCTAATTATAGGGGCATCTTGTATTAGTCATGTTTTATGTCAAATAGAATGTCAATGCGTATTGGTATTCRATCCGATTTGAGATCCTTTGAGAATGGTTTGGTTGGGTCAGTGATACACAATTCACATGATTATTCAATCGATTCTCATTGCTAGATTATTTCGTATATCGTCTAAAAGTCTTTATTTAATTGGCAATTTTTTACTTATTTATAAATCTTCCAACCCCCCCCCCCCCCTTTTTTTTTATATATTGTTTTAATGTTAATGAATTTGCACGCGTTTACGTCTTGGACTTACGGTTAACACCGAGTCCCTGAGGAGACGACCCTACTTATCGCTATCACAAGTTGTGTTTTAGAGATAATAGGCTTATTTTCATAAATTTTATTATTTGCCGGACTCGACACCCGTCAATATATGAAGAATGGAAGAGCAAAACCTGCATTATGCTTATTTGGAAAGATGTCTTATAGGACAACAGTTTCATGGATCGAGATAATTTTACGTCGTATGCTAGAACAGGTGATACGAAGATGGCTAGGTGTATTCTCGATCAGGTTCCTTTGGCACTGATAAATGTGATAACTTGGACTGTTATGGTTGAAGGGTGTGCGAGCAACGGCCAGATGAAGGCTGCTAAGGAAATTTTTGAGGCTATGCCACCATGTAATTTCTGTACTTATTCATCAATGATTTAAAGTTTGGAATATGGTAAATTGGAACTAGTTGATTTCTGGGTATTGTCATAATCGTCTTTGTGAGGAAGCTTTAGATGCTTTTGCACAAATGCAAGCAGATGGATTCGAACCCGATGAGGTCTCGTTTGGAAGTGCTTTATCTGCTTGTGCTCAATTGGGTTCATTAGAAACAGGTAAAACTCTTCACCACATGATTATTGAAAGAAGAATCAAACTTAATCAGTTTATTCGGAATGGTTTAGTTGACATTTATGCAAAATCTGGTGATTTGACCAATGCAAGACTAATCTTTGAAGGCATGCTGCAAAGCAATGATGCCTGTTGCAATGCTATCTATTTCATGCTTTTCCATCCATGGCCATTGCAAGGAAGCTCTGGAGTTCTTTGATTGAATGGTGAAATCTAGTGTGAATCCGAATGGCAATCACTTTTCTCTCGGTTTTAACCGCTTGTGCACATTCAGGGTTTCTTCGGAAAGATGGGAGAAGGCTGAAAGAGTGTAAGGATTGTTACGTCTCGTAAACGAGTTTCAGAAACAGTTGGTCATAGTTCAGTCATCCTTGACGATACCTAAACGACTAACGCAAGAACCCTGAGGGGTAGCTCAATTGTTAAGGTCTTGTGTTTGGTTCCCAGTGGTCACCGACTCGAGTCCCCTTTAGAGTCGTTGAAGGTTTGTCTGACTGTTAACTTCAGACCACATGGAATCAATCGAGTTTCGCTCAAACAAAAACATAAAAATGGTGATTTTACTTCATAATTTGGTGTTCATATTATATTATTCAAAAAAGAAAAATTAACTGTTGCTATTAAACATGATATATAACTTGATGATTTTTAAAAACTTAATATTATATTCAAAATAATGATTTTATTTTAAATATGTAAGCATAATATAAAGCAATTTATTTTTGTAGACAAATTTATTTAAATATTTTATGATAATTATTTTAAATGTAATTAGACCCAATCAGCATACATTTCTTTACAACCCAAATTGCTATGGAAATGACCTAAGTTGCTTTCCATTGAATTAAGTGAAATTGGCAAGAAATTCAGTAAAGTAAATTACGTTTTTAGTCCTTGTGGTTTATTGAAAATTGCTATTTTCATCCTATTACTTCTGTAATAATGATTTTCGTCCCTATGATTTACAATTCATTGGTGTTTTCATTCTTATAATTTACAATTTATTGATGTTTTCGTCTCTGTGATTTACAATTGTTTCCCGTTTTTGTCCCTCATACTTACAGTTACAAGTAGGAGTAGACATAGGGGACGAAAATAACAATAATTTGCAAACTTGACGATGAAGATTTGGGTGATCTCATGGACGTCTGTATAGAAAGCAAGCACATATATGATTATCTTACATCTTCTCATGGCATACCCCAATATGTTGCCGATAGGTCTCGGGATGATCCCGTGTCGTGACACTTGTGCCGAAGCCACACGCTTCTTCAAAGAAAACGTAATTATCGAAAAGGTCGAAGCCTACTGAAAGTTACTTGAAGTTGATTGTACCAAATTGTCGCCCAGTCAAGTGAAGGGAGAAAGATCCAAAGCTGTGTTGTTTTTTGGTTGCAGACTCGCATCAACTTTGAGAAAGATGGGAAGRRAACGGATGTGGAAMGTCGTGAGTCAAGTATGGATCGAGATTCTAGTTTACGCTGCTACTCACTGCCGAGGGGTGCACCATGAGCAGCAGCTTCGGAAAGGGGGAGAGTTTTTGACTCATGTTTGGCTGTTGATGGCTCCATTGGGCATCAGAGAGCAGTTCTAGGTGCATCAAGGCCATGCTCGAGCTTGGTTCAATGTAACGTAGGTGACTAGTTTAGGCATCATCATTCTTTTGAACCGGTAATTTTGTCTCTTGAGACAAAGGTAAGGTTTGGATCGACTTAATGATCTCACACGTTCGACTTATTATAACTGATACAAATATAAACCAAAAACTACTAAAAGAACTTCAAAGTCAATTTCAGGGCTCGAAATGAAGAATTTTGAGCAAACCGCCTTAGGTTATTGTCACGAGGTCCGACCATCGTGAGATTTCCGTGCACATCTTACGAGCCCAATTGAGAGATGAAGATGATCACGAACTTGAAGAACCGACCAACTTTTCTTATTCATGAAAACAGTAAAGTACAAAATCTCTCAATCACCTTACACGACTCCCATTGAAGTGACAAAATGAACTTCAAATTCTAAACCCGTGTCACGTATTTATAGGTGACATTTACAAGTAAAGCCCATTGCCCTTAAGCCCAATTACATGAAGATTACAATATAATACAAAATAACTGACTTTATAAAACTTTCTAATACTTAGGACTGTTTTAGCCCTAACAAATGTTATGTCTGTTTTAAGTTTGGACGTCTTTTCGTTTCTTTTCCCCATTGATCCATGAAGGCAACCGCTAATTTCTGTATCCGCTTGGCATCATATGCATGATAAACTGCCAACGTCATTTAAATCTTATCTAACTATACAATCTGCATCATTTCACAGCAAAAAGTTCGATGTATTAAGCTACCATGCTTAACGAGTTCATGGTTTTCCAAATATATGAAACGATGCATAGCAAAACCATGTTTCCGTAAAATGCCATATGTAACAAGAGAAATAATCAACTATAGATGAACAAAATTGAACACCTGAAAAATAGATGTCATGTGGTTTGTCACACCAAGAACAAAGAAGGAAGCAACAGAAGAACTTTTATGCAATCATTCAACACAAAGCCATTGTTGGATGGTAAGAGTGGTGTGTGTGTGTGTGTATATATATATATATATATAGGGTCGGTTCATATTAAGACTAAATATCATGAGAAAGTAAGGATAGAAGGTTGTAGGAAGATTCGTATGTGAAACATTGAAAAGATCTAAAGAAAATGCATATGTGAATAGGAGTTGCAAGTTATTCGTATGGTTCATATATGCATCTTTAAATAGATTTTTCCAATGATTCACACATGAACCTTCTCTTAACCTTCCCTTCTCACCTTCTCAATATAATTAGCCTTTTTGTGATTCTAAAGCAAAATCACATGTGATATAAAACGTCCAGAAGGACCCACAACTAGTCTATGCTACCAAGGTCGCATGAAAAGTCATGTGTGCAATGGCTGGTCAACACGGTGTGTGTATTATATGTGACTTACTCTAGAATCACATGTGATTTGACCTTTCTGGTAGATGGATTACCCTCTCATTTGAACAAACAAGAAACTAAATATTTTACGAGAAGGCGAGAAGTTTCAATATCATATATGATTACACACATGATATACGAGTTTAATCATATATGATCAAATAAATGTTGCATTTACAACATATAGACATTAAACCATATATAATTAAACACGCTCAAAGAAAAGGTTAATCATATATGATATTGAAAGTTCTTTTTCCGAGACTTATAAGACTTCTTTTTCCGTGATAAAAGCTTAAAACCTCTTACCTTCCTCTTATTGGACAAGAGGTAAAACCATTAATATTCTAAAACAAAAAATAAAAAATTTGGAAACCTAAAAAACCAGAGGCCTATAACAAACTCAAGCTTTACGACTTGTACCTTGACAATGGAACATTTGAGAACTGAGAACATCTAATATGTACAAGTCTTAATAGCACAAAACTTAGTATTCTTGAATTAATAACAACACTTCTATTTTGATTTTAAATAAAATTAAAATATTATTTTTGATAAGTTAACAAAAACAAACATTCTTATTGATGATGCTTACACACTTCAACACCACCTCTTATCAATAAAAAATGAAATAAGACTTCAGACGTTAACATATCTTAAAAAAATATAAATGGCACCTTAATTTCTCCTGGTCTAATCTTGTTATTTTAATGTATGAACAAGGAAAATGTAAGTTCAGTTATCTTAAAATTGTCAGTATAGACCAACACCTCCTCCCAACCCACCACACCACACCACACCACTGACCACACCACACCACCACCACCACACCGGCCTCAGGAATTTCTGGGAACATGTCACTGAAAGAACATAGAAGAGAACTGGAAGAACAATAAGAATTCATACTATTTTCCTCTGTCTTTGACCAAGAATTTCTTGTTGGAAATTTAATTACTCATTTCTAAATATTTTGTAAAACTTTACCTTGAAATTGTAATGGAGTTTTCTTAGTAATTAGGATATGACATACACTTGCATAATAATCAGAGATCCCATCCTTTATATACACCTTCCTTAAAAGTGAAATTCTAAGGACTTGAAAGAATCTTTGGATAACCGTGGGCGTCTGGGCTAGCTTGTGCTCATCTCAACTAATCCCATGAGACTCTGAACTTAACAGAGCGACAAACCTCCAGTAGCCCTAACGCGAGCAAACTCAAGTCCTTACCGGTTAAGCTACCGCGTTAGTTGAAGAATCTTGTTGGGTGATGACTTCCAATGGTAAGTTTTGTCTCTTGTTCACAAATACTTCTTTACTAATACCATGTTGTTCATAAATCTATCCTCCATCGCTATCGAACATGCGGCTGAATGCCTTACCTTTTTAACTTCTTATCGGTCATAGGTTCAATCACGCTTGGAGACGAGAGAACGTTATTCCAGGTGGTACCAGAAGATGTTAAACAGATGTGGAATGAGCAGGCACTGCGGGGACTGATCCTCGCCAGCCTTAGTTTGCAGATCATCTTAAGTCTACTAGGAAATATTCGGAAAACCCATCCAAGAACCCTACTCAGAACCATTCTCTGGTTCATATACTTTTTGGCATATGCGGTTGTACCGATAGCCCTAAGTATTACTGCCCAAAGTGCCTTAGAAGTATGCAACAACGCCCCTCATTCCATTTCAAAACATCAGAAATCGAACACAAGAGAGCTCATGTCTTTCTGGGCATCGTTTCTCCTTCTTCACCTTGGTGGTCCAAACTCGATCACTGCCTACTCTTCGGAAGACAATGAGCTTTGGTTAAGACACTTGGTGTTTCTGGTGTTTCAATCAGGAGTTGCTCTCTATATCCTCTTGTTGTCCTGGCCAGGTTGCTCTCATCTTCCGCTGCTAAGCATATTCGTTTTTGCAGCCGGTTGCATCAAATGTTTTCAACGTGTTTGGGCTCTAAGGGTAGGAAACACTGAGCATCTCCGAGAGTCAATGCTTGGCCCTGCCGACCCAGGTCCTGATTATGTCAAATTCCTGGAGGAGTTCCAACTGAAAAAGTCACAGGGTTTCATTATGAAGATTGAGGGGGTCGCAGAACCCCCTCTTCCCATCGTTCATGCATCTCCTGAAAGCCCGTGTAAGGAAATTCTCGAAGCATACGATCTATTCCAAACATTCAAGCGGCTTTTTGTTGACCTCATACTCACATACGAAGATAGGGATAGGAGCAAAACCTATTTCCGCCATCTTGATTCTGCTCGTGAAGCTTTCTGCGTGGTTGAGATTGAAATCGGATTTGCATATGACCAGCTTTACACGAAAGCAACGGTGGTCTATACTTACACAGGCCTCATACTTCACGCAACTAGTGCTTTTCTCATTCTTCTGGTACTTCTGGGCTTCCTTTTCTACAGTGAAATGGGCAATTTCGGTGTCATTGACGTTGCCATTACTTACCTACTAATGGCAGCAGAAATCTTAAAGGAAATCTTCATGCTTATTACCATGCTCCGCTCGGATTGGACTGATATCTGGTTGAACCAGCAGAACCACACTCGTAACATCCTCATATTCCCATTCCTAAAGCAACCGAGTAAACAAAGGTGGTCCAATTCCACTGCTCAGTCAGACCTACTAAGTGTAGCCCTCGGGGAGAAGCCAGCTAGATTTTTGCCAGCTCAGAAATTATTTGGGGTAGATAAGTATCTAGAGACCCAACGATACCAGTCATATAGAAATGTTTCTGACAACCTAAAGGATATGATTTACACACATTTTTGTGATTTCATGGCTTGTAGCTATGATTCTAAAGCATTATGTATTCAGAATGGTAGTTTTTCTAGTTTTTCTCTCCAAAAGAATAAGTGTACCACTCTTCTGTGGAGCATCAATGAGGCGGAATTCTACCAAATTGTTCTTATCTGGCACATTGCTACTGCTCTTTGCTACTACTCGGAGGTTAACGATCCATTTGAAATCAACCGCATTGAAAGCAAGCACATATCTGAATATTTGGTGAATCTTCTCATTTCAAACCCTGAAATGCTGCCAATGGGTATTGGAATAATCAGGTATCGTGACACGTGTGCTGATGCCATGCGTTTCTTCAAAACAAAAGGTCCTATTACCGAAAAAGCAGAAGCATGCAGAAAGTTGCTTGAAGTTGATTGTAAGGAATTGTTGCCTAGTATTGTGAAGGGGGATCGATCCAAATCTGTACTGTTTGAGGGTTGCAGACTCGCATTAGATTTGAGGGAAATGGAAAGGGGACCGATGTGGAAGGTGGTGAGTCAAGTATGGATCGAGATCTTAGCTTATGCTGCTGCTAACTGCAGAGGGGTTCAGCATTCGCAGCAGCTTGGGAGAGGTGGTGAATTTCTAACTCATGTTTGGCTTCTGATGGCACATTTAGGCATGACAGAGCATTTCCAGGTATCTCAGGGCCATGCTAGAGCTAGGTTCAACGTGTCATAGACATAACTTTGATTTAGGCACTCACCCTCTTTGATTATTATTCTTAATTTTATAGATTAAGCTTTGTGTTTGCAAACTTGTACCCATTTGCAGCAAGGTTCATATTTGTAAAATAAAATGACCTTAAACCAAGTATGGGGATAAGTCGGGTGTCAATCGTCTATGAGGGAGTTACTGTGATACAAAAACTACATAACACTATTGAGTAACTCCTGCAAATTGTTAAATTGGTCCACTGAGTTGGCATTTATATGGCTGTAAGTAACTTCTCTGCATAACATTCATCTAGGCAAAAATAAAACTTCAGTGTTTCAGGGTCACAGAAACAGTTTCTTTGCAAAATTAAGGAAAATGCTTGTACAAAAGACTTTTCTCTTCAGCTCTCATGAACCACGAATAGTCTTGATGCACTGGGATCACACTTGAAATTCAGGGTTTAATTTTGGTGGTTTTCTCTGATAAGCCCGAAACATTTACAGGACATAAGCAAAAAAGCAAGTTTAACCACAAGGGTGGTGCCTGATTGGTTTGAGCTTGGCTCCAAAGGTCAAAAGTACCAGGAAGTCCCAGGTTCAAATCCAAGGAGGAATAAAAATCCCCTAGTGGCCACGGAGGTTCAAATGTGGTGACTCCGGGCTATCTGCAAAGCAGGTGGTCACCCTGGGATTAGTCAGCTCGCATAGAAGGTTGGATATCCAGGTTAATAAAAAAAAAGGACATTTTCAAACCAGATTGCTATTGAGATCCTTATCATCATTGACCTTTTTAAAGCAAAACATGTAACTTGGTTGTCAAAGAACACAAAAAATTTATAAGAAATGTATTAGCATGTGGTAGAAATTGCCAATAGGGGTGTAAAGAGTCGAGAGAAATTAAACAGGGAGGTACTCGAGTTTGCTCCATTAATCGAAGATATCTTGTTCCCAAACTTCATGTCTCTCCTTATCCACCAATCAACACCTTGCATATCATCACTTTAGTGAAGAGAGAGAATAAAAAGATGAATTAAATAGATGTGCATTAAGTAAAATAATGATGTTCCGGACATGGAGACGACATGGAGTTTGGGGATAGTGATTTGTAAGGCTGTAAACGAACCGAACGTTCAGCGAACCGTTCGGCAGGAAGTTCGTTTATGTTCGCTTATTTAATAAATGAATGAACATGAACAATTTTTTGTGTTCGTTTAGTTAAACGAACGAACATGAACAAGAGTCTCATTCGTTCATTTATGTTCATGAACGTTCGTTCATTTACCGTTCGTTTACGTTCGTTCATTTATCGTTCGTTTACGTTCGTTTATGTTCGTTTATGTTCGTTTATATATTAAATTTAATATACAATATTTTATTTATTTACTTTGAATTCAAGTAATATTTATTTATGTTCGTTTAGCCCGTTCGTTT